ACGCAAGACGGACAACACAAAACGCACGACCAAGCAGCAAGGAATCAAGCCTTCACGATAAAATATCGCCAGGATCTGATTCGTGATCAGATATACAAGGCAGAGAATGAAATCAAAGACAACAAAGCGCAACTACTTCATGCTACAAACGAGTGGAGAAATAGCAACATCGACGATAGTATCCGTACCCGCATTGAACAACACCTCGACATCCTCAAAGACCAACATCACCTCAGCACTGAAACAAGGATTATCAAGAAACTAACAACATTATATGGAGGACCTATGGCATTTCCACGACCAAGAGATGGCTTCCTGAACCTTGCAGGAATTAACCTCACTGATGACCAAGTCACTCTCCTAAATTTGGGCATAAACTGTCATGTTATGTCCAGACCGAGTGAGATGGCCCGGAAAGTAGAGTTGGAAATTCTGTTGGACGACATATTCGACCTCGAGACACAAAAGAAGGTCACTACCAAAGATACCTTACAAGCAGAACTTATTGCAGAAGGAGGAAAGAATCGAGGCAACTACAGAAGCACCATACTGTCCCCCGAGCTTAAAGCGGCAGCTAAAAGCCTTCGTGAGAACAAGGAGATAGTTGTCAGGAGAGGTGACAAGTCGCCAATATATGTCATTCTTAAAAAAGACGAATATCTGGCGAAAATGAACATCATACTCTCTGACCAATTTAAGTTCCAAAGGGTAACGAAGGACACTACAGCCGAATGAAGCAAAGGTCAACAAACTGATCGAAACTGTGAACGCCAAGAAATCCGGACTCCACGTGTCAAAGATCATTGGGGAATATAAACCTGGATATGCGTATAGAAATGTCAAGACGCACAAGCCTGGAAACCCACTTCGGCCAATCATTAGCCAGATACCCACACCCACGTACAGACTGGCGAAGCGACTCAACGGCCTGCTGACTCCTTATGTTCCTTGCACCTTCAGCCTGAAGTCTCCAAAGGAATTTGTTGACTTACTGCGGGGCACACGGGCCACAGGGATAAGAGCCTCGTTGGACGTAGAATCGCTGTTTACCAACGTACCTGTGGACGAGACAATCGGAATGATAGCCGACAGAGTGTATCGTGATCCAGCCTGTACTCCTCTTGACATACCAGAAAATATTCTGAGGAAACTACTCCAAGCTTGTATTAAAGAGGCACCCTTCTTGAGCCCGGATGGGCACATGTATAAGCAAGTAGATGTGGTCGCCATGGGTTCTCCCCTAGGTGTCCTGTTTGCAAACTTCTACATGGGTACCATCGAGCAAAAAGTCTTAGTCGACATGAACTTGAAACCGGCCATATACTGCAGGTATGTTGACGACATTTTTACACAGGTACCTGATGTCAGACATCTGCAGGAGCTGAAGGAGGCATTTGAGCAGAGTTCCGTGCTGCGTTTCACTTACGAGATGGAAAAGGATGGGAAGCTGCCCTTTCTAGATGTAACAGTCATGGAAAAGGGCGGAGGTTTCCACACTGCAGTCTACACTAAGGAAACAAACATAGGAATGTGCCTAAATGCCAACAGCGACTGCCAAGACAGGTACAAGAGGAGTGTTGTTAACACATATGTCGACCGTGCTCTCAGCCACAGCTCAGAATGGAAGCAAGTCGACGAAGAACTCTGTAGGGTAAGGCAGGTCCTAGTCAATAACGGCTTCTCCAATGGTTTCGTCGAAGACATCATAAGAAGGAAAGTGAAAAGCCATGCAACCTCTGAAGAGACAACTAACACAACACCTATACCCCCTATTAGACTATTTTACAGGAACTTCTTTTCCACAGCTCATAAAACGGAGGAAAGGGTCCTGAAAGATATTGTTAATAAAAACGTTATCCCTACAGACAAAAATCAGAGGATACAACTGACGATTTACTATAAAACCAGAAAAACGGCCAGCCTACTCATGAGAAACTCTCCAGACACAAAACAGAACGCTTTAAAAGAGACTAACGTCGTCTATGCCTTCAAATGCCCTCTTGGGGACTGTAAGCTCCAAAAAAACAGTATATAGGCAATACAACAACATCTCTTTCTAGGCGTTTAACGATGCATAAGCAACAGGGCTCCATTAAGGAACATATAATCTCTTCCCACAACCAAACCATCGCCAGAGAAATCCTAGTAAACAACACAGAAATCATCGATAGATACAGCGATAGCAGGCGGCTTGACGTTTGCGAGGCACTACACATCAAGAAGTTGACACCAGCAATCAACAGCCAATTATTGCACAACTATATTCTACCCACCTCAAGACTCCGCTCCAATATAGAAGCATCAAGAAATATGGACCAATAGGCTTTCTACAAACACTTCTATTCAATATCCATTGTTTCGTGTTCTGTCTTGTGTTGATGAAATTAATACCCTATTAATACTCTTGTTCTGTCTTGTGTTGATGAAATTAATACCCTATTAATACCACATCTTGTTCTGTCTTGTGTTAATGCCACATCACCCCTTCCACCTCACTCAAATGTAGATATAAAATCGGAGATGCGTAAGTTCTATTCAGTTGTGTATTTGTGAACTAAAGTCTTTGAAAATGTAATAAGTTTTACGAAACGCGCACGTGTCGCGTCAGACTAGAAATAAAAATGAATTTTGGAGAATTGATTTTTGATTTACCTCCAACAGTGAAGCGAAATGTACGAAAGATTGAGAAAATTCGTGTTAGAATTATTAATCTTACTTTTTCGGTCATATTTAATAATATATATATATATATATATATATATATATATATATATATATATATATATATATATATATATATATATATATATATATATATATATATATATATATATATATATATATATATATATATATATATATATATATATATATGTCGTACCTAGTAGCCAGAACGCACTTCTCAGCCTACTATGCAAGGCCCGATTTGCCTAATAAGCCAAGTTTTCCAGAATTAATTGTTTTTCGACTACCTAACCTACCTAACCTAACCTAACCTAACTTTTTCAGCTACCTAACCTAATCTAACCTCTAAAGATAGGTTAGGTTAGGTTAGGTAGGGTTGGTTAGGTTCGGTCATATATCTACTTTAATTTTAACTCCAATAAAAAAAAATTGACCTCATACATAATGAAATGGGTAGCTTTATCATTTCATAAGAAAAAAATTAGAGAAAATATAATAATTCTGGAAAACTTGGCTTATTAGGCAAATTGGGCCTTGCATAGTAGGCGTAGAAGTGCATTCTGGCTACTAGGTACGACATATATATATATATGTGTGTGTGTGTATGTGTGTGTGAGAAAGCTGCATGGACGCGCAAGCCATATATCACTAAGAACGCTTTGACCCGGCCAGGATTCGAACCCATGCCGTCCAGGATCACCCCTAAACGTACACAGTACCGTGACCCCCGCACCAATGATCGTAGTACTCTGATCAAGTCTATGATAGTACAAGTAGCCAATGATAACCATAGCGATCTGGCTACTTGTGTTCCTCACGTGTGCCCCAAAGAATGAGGTGATTTGAAAAAATGTTATGCCCAAGATTACCATCCGAGTGCCGGCGGGGAAGTGGTTCAAATAGCTTCGGCTATCACTTCCTTATGGGGTGGGGGGCATCTATATAGCAGGTATATAAAAAGACGCCCCTTTTCGAATGCAAAGTTGTGTCAAAATTTCATAGCAATCGGTTAAGAACTTTCGGAGAGTACAGCGTGTGTTGCTCTTACGTCCAACAGATGACGCTGTTTTCAAAAAAAGCATGTTTTTTCCTGTCACCGCTAAGGCATGTATATAGAAGATATATAAAAAGACTCGCCTATTCGAATGCAACGTTGTGTCAAAATTTCAAAGCAATCGGTAAAGAGGATTCGAAGATTTCCCTCACATAAAAAACATGCAAAAAGACAGTTTTTTTCAGAAAAAGCATGTTTTTTACCGTCTCAGACGTGATAGCTATATAGTATGTATATTAAAACCTGCTCGAATGCGACTGGGACGCTGTGTGAAAATTTCAAAGCAATCGGTGAAGAACTTTCGGAGATTAGCGATTTTGAACAAACGAACATTTCCATTTTTATTTATATAGATATAACCTAAAATGAGTACTACCTCTGGGGCAAGTGTAGGAACCCATAGCCTCGGATTAGAAAATAAAGAGTGCTCAAAGAAGACCTTGTGGATCCTCACTGAACACTTTGATATTTTCTTCACCTACCACACCTATTCCTTTGCTTTGTGTGTATATATATATATATATATATATATATATATATATATATATATATATATATATATATATATATATATATATATAACTTTATTTTAAAATCCAACTACACAAAAAGAGTTACAACATTGGTTACATGCAGGGTACAATCCTACTTGTCACGAGTTGTAGAGCTCCTCCAGCTCCTCAGATGGCGGGCAGGAACCCATGGATACAGTGAGCATTTCCTCTCTGGATCGCCACTAAGGCCCTGAAAGAGAAAACTGGTGGCTCTATTGTCTCTAGTTGTTTCAATTAGCTTGGACCCCAGCTCCTTCAAAAAACTATCAGTACTTTTACCCCAGGCACCAAGTGTCTCTGACACAATGGGGACAAAATTTTAGTGGTGATCAAGGTCTCTGTATTTACGTGACTAGGCTGCTTCCCAGTGATTGGCAGCACCTCCTGCCTGTGTATCACTGAAGTCAACATAGGTGTTGGCTAAAGTTGAAACACAAGTGTAGTCCCTCACCAACTGTCTACCATTCTGTGAAACTACTGATGGATGGTGGTTGCATTACTGGAGCTGCTTCACATGAACTGTTGCTATGTAACGCTGGATATTGTTGCATTACTGGAGCTGCTTCCCTTGAACTGTTGCTATGTAAAGCTGAATGTTGTTGCATTACTGGAGCTGCTTCACTTGTACTGTTGCTGTGTAACGCTGGGTATTGTTGCATTACTGGAGCTGCTTCACTTGTACTGTTGCTGTGTAACGCTGGGTATTGTTACATTACTGGAGCTGCTTCATATGAGCTGTTGCTATGTAACGCTGGATATTGTTGCATTACTGGAGCTGCTTCACTTGTACTGTTGCTGTGTAGCGCTGGGAATTGTTGCATTACTGGAGCTGCTTCACTTATACTGTTGCTGTGTAATGCTGGGTATTGTTGCATTATTGGAGCTGCTTCACTTGTACTGTTGCTGTGTAACTCTGGGTATTGTTGCATTACTGGAGCTGCTTCACTTGTACTGTTGCTGTGTAACGCTGGGTATTGTTGCATTACTGGAGCTGCTTCACTTGAATTGTTGCTATGTAACAATGGATATTGTTGCATTACTGGAGCTGCTTCACATGAACTGTTGCTATGTAACGCTGGGTATTGTTGCATTACTGGAGCTGCTTCCCTTGTACTGTTGCTATGTAACGCTGGATATTGTTGCATTACTGGAGCTGCTTCATTTGTACTGTTGCTGTGTAATGCTGGGTATTGTTGCATTACTGGAGCTGCTTCACTTGTACTGTTGCTATGTAACGCTGTGTATTGTTGCATTATTGAAACTGCCTCTCTTGTACTGTTGCTGTGTAACGCTGGATATTGTTGCATTACATAACTTATAGTCATTTATGGATTTTATTTTAGGAAATCCTTGATGAAGTAATAATGATTTAACAAATTTCATTATAACAAGTCCCACTGTGAGTGTGGTATTACGGAGTAGGAAGTCGGGCTTCATGGTACATCATTAAATTGAACGATGATGCTGCCAAAAGAAGGAAGAGGAGTGGAGCATCAAGGTCAAGTATGCGCGGGAATACCTCGTCATGCTGATGTTCGTGCACTCGGCATTGCATGTTCTCATGCATGGCAATTAAATCCAAAGTGAATCAAATAAATCGATAAATGATTTGTTTACGTATCTTTTTATCTTAAGAATTAAGTCAACACTGTCATAGGAAACGGATATCAGTGATGATGAATGACCAGTTACAAAAGGATTATATGGCATCTTTTTGCGAAGATTTTACAGAGTGGACAAAAAAGTGTGCGTCAGAGAACGTGGTAGCCAATATTGGGCCTCCACTGTACCTCCGGATGCTGACTGCTGACGGGTTAGATTGCACTAATTTGTTCTATCCAGCCGAAGAGAAGGCGAACGTACAGAGTGTAACTAATAATTTTAATTTTACCCTGTAAATTCGCCGTCTCTTCTGTTGAATAAAACTAACCTGTCTAAACAGTTCAATCTAACCTGTCAGTAGGCATGTTTCTATTATGTCAGCAGCAGTATGTCTCCATTAGTTTAGTTAATTTATTATGCGCACCCAGTACTAGCGCGTCTTCAAAGAAAATTCATTACCATGAGAAATCACCCCAACCCCACGCCTCAAACTACCTGGTTAATTATCTTGATATTTCTTATGTACATGACGGTTACTGAAAGTATATTACGGTTTCATTAATAGTCTACATGTAAATTGGCTTTTGAGCTTCTGTCGCAAACAGAGATTCTGCTTAAGCTATAAGTTTATTGCATTATGAATTTTTGGTTTAAAATATAGAAGGTACATGTTGGGTACATGAAGGTACAACGGTTTTTTTTAATTTAGTTCTTTTTGTTATCAGAATTTTCTGTAACTCTCAAATAGTTTTGAATTCCATATTTCACATCATTGTCAATAATACAACATATTAGCATAACCAAACGTAATGAAACCCAACCTAACCTAAAGTAACCTTAACCTAACCTAACCATGGATAGAAAGTAGTTTATTGCCCAAATTGTGTATTCGTTTCCAATCCATTCCGGTGTGCATATTTCCTCCCTGAAGACAGGCATATCCTCCCATCTAGTGGGCGGTGGTGGAAAAACTATAAATTTACATCATGATCAAATCTACTCTTTGATCAGTGATGGAAAGATCGCAGAAACACATAATGAACTCCAAACTCAGCCTGTGATAGACAACGGAAGACACAATGTAATCACAGTAACCTACTGTGTCCATGAGAAAGTGTTACAGCGCAGTTCTGAGGTGACAGAGGACCCAGGTTCCATCCAGCTGTACTGTTACAAAGACATTCTCATGGTGAGAAGGATACAGATGCACCTAATGCCCTTTGGAATTGAGCCCGAAAAGAAGTTTTGTTTAAGCATTTACAGAACTGATGAACTATTTGCAAACTTTATTAGCCTTTTCAATATCCTGTCCGTTTACAGTTTTAGTTTTGCCTAGTTTGCTTAACAGAGTTTAGTGCACATGTATGTCGCCCAGAGAAATCCATAAAGCAGTTTGCAGGTTACAGTGCCACGTATAGTTACAAACATTTGTTAGCTTAAAAGCGAGTTACAGCATTGATAAATCTTATAATAGGGTCTTCCTGTTGACCTCTTGCTTTTAAAACCATTGATTGAAAAAAAATATTTATTGGTGACCATTTCATTGTTAAGTTTTCATTTGTTTTTGTTTATTAAAATGTTCTTACTTTATGGTAACGCAGATGTTCTTATTCATTGTATCGAAAATCACTGAGTTAACGAAATACGTTCAGGACTAAGTTGATAATAATATATTAAAAATTAAGTTGAGTGATATGATTAATAACACCGTCATGAACATGTCATGTACAATAACCGTCATATATAATAATAATCGGGCACAGTAACCATCATGTACAGTAACTGTGATATACAATAATAATCAGGCACAGAAACGTCATGCATAGTGACCGTCATGTACAGAGAGCGTCATGTACAGTAACCGTCCTGTTCAGTAACTATCTTTAGAACATCACCGGGCCTGACAGCTGAGTGGACAGCGCTTCGGATTCGTAGTCCTGTGGTTCCGGGTTCGATCCCCGGTAGAGATGTAAACAAATGGGCAAAGTTTCTTTTCACCCTGTTGCTCCTGTTACCAAGAAGTAAATATATACCTGGGAAACAGCTACTAAGGGCTGCTTCCTGGGGTGTAACAAAATAGAGTCCTGGTCGAGGACCTGCCCTCGGTGGCGCTAAGCCCCAAAATAATCTCAGAATAACCTCAAGATAATCTTACCTTGCGTTGATTTCGGGGCTTAACGATCTCACGGCCCGGTCCTCGACCAGGCCTCCTCGTTACTGGACTAGTATATCAGGCTGTTGGATGCGGCTGCTCACACCCTGATGTATAAATCAGAGCCTGGTTCATCAGGTACCCTTTAGAGGTGTTTATCAAGCTCTCTCATGAACACTGCAAGGTCGTGTCGTCAATTACTGGACATAATGTGAGGAGAGACATTACAAAACGCATTACTAGGCATCAGACCCCAAGTAAAAAAGTAAAAAGTGAACTTTGTAGAATAAATTGTTTAACTTACTGCGGCCAGTTATGCCCCTTATGTGTAGTGAAAGCGTTATCATGTACAGGTACTGTTACGCACAGTAACCGTCATGCACAGTAACCGTCATGCACAGTAACCGTCATGCACAGTAACAGTCAAGAACAGTAATTGTCATGTTCAGTAACTCATGCCTACTGATTGTAATGCACAGTAACCGTCATGCACAATAATCATCATACACAGTAACATTATTGTTCAGTAAATGTCATGCACAGTAACCGTCATACACAGAAATCATCATGCACAGTAACCGTCATGCACAGTAATCATCATACGCAGTAACATTATTGTTCAGTAAATGTCATGTACAGTAACCGTCATGTAAAAAAACTGTCAAGTACAATAACTGTCATGTACAGTAACTGGCATGTACAGTAACTGTCATGTACAGTAACTGTCATGTACAGTAACTCTCATGTACAGTAACCGTCATGTACAATAACTGTCATGTATAGTAACTGGCATGTACAATAACTGCCATGTACAATAACTGTCATCTACAGCAACTGTCATGTACAGTAACTGTCATGTACAGTAACTGTTATGCACAGTAACCGTTATGTACAGTAACTGTCATGTACACTAACAGTCATTAGAGTAACTGTCATGTACAGTAACCGTCATACACAATAACCGTCATGTACAATATTTGCCATGTACAGCAACTGTCATGTACAGTACTCGTCATGTACAGTAACTGTCATGTGCAGTAACTGTCGTGTTCAGTAACCCATGTACAGCAACTGTCATGTACAGTAACCGTCACGTACAGTAACTGATGTACAGCAACTGTCATGTACAGTAACTGGCATGTACAGCCACTGTCATGAGCAGTAACCGTCATGTACAGTAACTGTCATGTACAGTAATTGTCATGTACAGCAACTGTCATGTACACTAACCGTCATGTTCAGTACCTGTCATGTACAATAACTGCCATGTACAATAGCTGTCATGTACAGCAACTGTCACGTGCAATAACCGTCATGTACAGTAACTGTCATGTACAGTAATTGTCATGTACAGCAACTGTCATGTACAATAACCGTCATGAACAATAACTGTTATGTTCATTAATCATCATGTACAGTAACTGTCATGTATAGTAACTGTCATGTGCAGTAACACTCATGTACAGTAACTTTCATGTACAGTAACCCTCATGTACAACATCTGTCATGAACAGTAACTGTCATGTACAGTAGCAGTCATGTACAGTAACCGTCATGTACAGTAACTCTTGTACAATAACTGCAATGTACATTAACTGTCATGTACAGTAACTGTCATGTACAGTAATCGTCATGTACGGTAACTGTCATGTAAAGTATCCATAATGTTCAGTAACCGTCGTGTATAGTAACTGTAATGTACCGTGACCATCATGTACAGTAACCTTCATGTACAATACCTGCAATGTATAATAACTGTCATGATTAGCAACTGTCATGTACAGTAACCGTCATGTACAGTAACTGTCATGTACAGTAACATATTTACAATAACTGCAATGTACAATAACTGTCATGTACAGACTCTGTCATGTACAGTAATCGTCATGAACACCAACTGTCATGTATTGTAACTATCATGTACAGTAACTGTCATGTACAGTTAGCATCATGTACAGTAACTCATGTACAGTAACTGTCATGTACAGTAACTGTTATGTACAGTAACGGTCATGTACAGTAACTCTCATATACAGTATCCATCAAGTACAGTAACCATCATGTACAGTAACTGTAATGTACCGTGACTTTCATGTACAGTAACCTTCATGAACAATAACTGTCATGTACAATAACTGTCATGTAGAGTAACTGACATGTACAGTAACTGTCATGTACAATAACTGCCATGTACAATAGCTGTCATGTACAGCAACTGTCTCGCACAATAACCGTCATGTAAAGTAACTCTTGCACAATAACTGCAATGTACAATAACCGTCATGTACAGTAACTGTCATGTACAGTAACGGTCATGTACAGTAACTCTCATATACAGTAACTGTCATGTACATTAACTATCATGTATAGTAATGTAATGTACTGTGACCATCATGTACAATAACCGTCATGTACAATAATTGTCATGTACAATAACTGTCATGTACACTAACTGTCATGTATAGTAACTGTCATGTACATTAATTGTCATGTACAGTA